GACGATATTTGGATCTAAGGCAAATTTTACAAGCCGCTTTCCTGGGGCCCCACAAGCACCACCAACAAAGGCCACCTTACTGGCTGTACACCACGCGGGAATGAATAATTTCCAGGAATGAGTAATTCCCATACCTGGTGCAATTACCCACTGTGGTTACATCATTTCAGCCCAATGACTGACTCGAGTTCAGCAGAATTGGAGAGAAAGTTATGGTATAGAATCCGTGGAAGAAGTGGAAGAAAAGGCAGCTTCTTTGGTTATGAGATTTCAGAGAATATCTTGAGAAATCACTTAGCGTAGAAAACTGCTGAGTTGAGCAATTTGTGACACATAGATTGCTGCTGATGTGTCCGCTCATGCTTCTATTTAAGGGGAAAAATGGTTATTTAGTAGATGGTCTGACATTGCACATGGGACAATATCATTGCATGGGAACTAGAAGAAGAGTTGGTTTTTATACCTCGCTTTCCACTACCCGAAGGAGTTTCAGAGCGGCTTACAACCGCCTTCCCTTCCTCTACCCACAACAGACACCCTGTGAGGTAGGTGAGACTGAGAGAGCTCTGAGAGAACTGTGACTGACCCAAGGTCACCCAGCTGGCTGCAGGTAGAGGAGTGCAGAATCAAACCCAGTTCTCCAGATTAGAGTCCGCCACTTTTAACCACTACACCAAACTGGAGGCTTTGTACTCAGCACATTAGTGGGATAAATGAACAGGATGGAGTGATCACAGCACGCAAACACAGAACTTGGCAGCGGCTACAAAAGGAGCACCCCGAGAAAGCTTTTTTTTTAAAAAAAATAAAATAAGGATGATGTTCATAGGTTGCTTACCCTGACATAGATGGCCAAGGATAGCTTGATCTCATCCAATCTTAGAAGCTAAGCAGAGATGGCCCTGGTTAGTGCTTAGATGGGAGACCTCCAAGGAAGTGCAGGGCTTGTAGGCAGAGCTAGGCAATGGCAAACTACCTCTGAGAACGTCTCTTCCCTTGACAACCATACAGGGTCATCAGAAGTTGCCTGCAACTTGATTGCACTTTCCACCATCATGTCATAAGTCCTTAAGGCTATGCATAGAGGACACACTGACTCATATGGCAATGCACAATTGCATCTTTGATATGCTTCTAATGTTGTGCGTGAAAGAAGAATCCACATACTTTCCCCCAAGTAGAGACGCCAATGGTCCCAGTGTAGAGCTGGCTCATGCATGCTCCTGTGGGGGAGATGGGAAAGTTTCCACTTTGCACAACACCTCAGAAACATGGAGGGGGATCCACGCCTAGCTCTTGTTTCCCTCTGTATCAAATCTGAAACCATCCAAAATACATGGGCAATGTCTAAGGAAGTGGGGGTAAGAGCGGAGGAGGGGGTCTGATCAAGGTTTCCATTAGCTACGCAGGCGCCTCTGCTTCCTATGTCTGTTTCTGCTTCTCTGTGAATCAGAACCGGCTCCACTACAGGGCTGGTAGGAGGAGCCTCTCTTGCCTCACAACCAACATTAAAATCAGCTGTGGAGGATGGCTTCATTGTTTTGTTCTCTAAGCCTGGGCTGGCTGTGCTCATCATCTTGATTTTTTTATGCCAGAAATGGAGTGGGGGCCTTTGCAAAGAGGTGGGGTCTGGGTCCGGTCTGCTGGGCACAGCAATTGCTGTGCAGATGGCGCAGCCCACGCAGCGTGGCCAGCCAAGTCCAGAAATGCAAAAGCAGGAAGCAGCGCCTTTGCTTCTGACGCAGATGTGGCTGTTGCTAGGCTGAGCCGGGAGCATGGTATAGCATGAGATGCACACTCACATCCCACCATGTGTCACATGAGCTCTGCGCGAGCGTCTATTGGCTCGCAAGTGGCCCATGCCACGCCTGGAACAACCACAGTTGCTGCAGTGACATTGTTTTGCTTTGTAAAACAATCCCCTTGCAGGCACGTCACAAACACACAACAGCTCATCCCTTCTCCCCACTCCGACTTAATGACTGCACTTGCCACACAACTTAGAGGTGCCAGGAAAAGCGGATAACCCCAGTCAGTGCAGCAGCCAAACACAAAAAGAACAGGTGATGCTTTCGGCAAGATCAGCAAGCAGGAACATGCTCCACTGAACAATAAGGACATGCCCCTCCCCCAACTTCTTGCTTCACTTGGCCAGGATTGCAAAGATGCCATTCAGCAGCTCTTTGCTTTACAGCATAAACCAGATCCCTTCCCTCCTTTCCCCCAAGGAGACATTGATTCAGAAGGAATGAGGGACCACCACATGCTCCTGTTCCAGCTCCAGTCCTTTCAAGGGCGGAAAACCAAGTCAAGACTTTTATTAGCTCTGCACAGGAGCTGGAACAAACCCAAGAAAGGGCTTAGGGTTTTGCTTGGCTTCTGGTTACAGAGGAAAATCCATGGGTTTGCAGCAAGGTTGAAGGCCATCAAATGCCAACAAAGACACCACATGTTCTGCAGCATCTGAAAGGCTATGGGAAGGTGACCTGGCAGCAATGGAGAAGGGAGACTGGTCCCTAGCTGGCCAGGCCTGCCTGCAGCTCTCTCACCAGGAGTAATTAACTTATGCCTCACCATGGCCATGCAATACCCACCGGTGTGTGAGAGAACGGCATTACAGTGGTACCAAATTGGTTGCTGAGTCATCCAAGGACTAAGCAGGTCTGCTGTCTCTACAGCTTCTTGCCCATTCTGTAATTATGAGACCTGGGCAAAACTCATGAGCTCAGATGTACACTTTATATAGCCATCTTGAGAGCCTCAATGTAGGAAAAAGCATGCACCCCTGCAATTTTCCCTGCACCCAAAATTACCTATGTGAAAGAGGCAGAATTAAACCATCCTGTTGGTGAGGGGCGATCAAACTCCTTCCACATCACCTATGGGGCAGACTTCTTCGGGGTTGGGGAGAAGACAAACAAGGATCTTTGCATGAGAGGGTTTGACTAAACACTGTACCTGTTTTTGCAGGGAAGAAACTCTGGGCCTGGGACTCATCACAAGTACTGACTGGAGAGCAGGTGCTAGATAGAGAGCACATGTTGGCTGTTGCAGAACAGGATTCCAGTCTGGTGTAGTGGTTAAGTGCACGGACTCTAATCTGGGAGAACCGGGTTTGATTCCCCACTCCTCCACTTGCAGCTGCTGGATGACCTTGGGCAAGCCATAGTTCTGTCAGAACTGTTCTCAAAAGAGCTCTCTCAGCCCCAGCCTCACCTACCTCACAGGGTGTCTGTTGTGGGGAGGGGAAGGGGAAAGAGTCTCTCAGCCCCGCCTACCTCACAGGGTGTCTGTTGTGGAGAGGGGAAGGTGAAAGAGTTTGTAAGCCGCTCTGAGACTCTGAGTGAAGGGCAGGGTATAAATCCAATCTCCTCCTCCTCTTCTTCACTGGGAAATCATTGTCCCAGCATCTGAGTGAGGAATGAACTTGCAAATGCCCCAAATTATGAAAGCTCACCTTTTATGCTTTGTGGAACATGTCTACACCAGCTCGTGACCTGCCAAGCACGGGCAAAGGAAACCCACCAAGTGGGATCCTGCAGAATTCCACCAACCTGTATGGGCTGGCTGGTGTTCCTTAATGCTAAACCTTGCCAATGAATGAAACCCCTCAGGAGGCAAGGCTGTCTCTTAAACAGTCCTGGCAGCTCCCAAGGCCTTGTACACGGGTAAGCACTCCATCCTACCCCACCACCCCAAATCTTTCCATTGAAGGCTGCTATAACCTTGATTACAGTCCTTTGGGAAAGTCACCTGTCCTAATAGCATGACATGCCAGCGCTATCCTGACACCCTTGGAGTGCCTCTGAGTAGCACACACCTTTCAAATGTGGACATTCAAAAGGACATTTGCAAAAAGCCAAAGAAATCAGGCAAGACCCTACCCCCAGGGCCTTTCAACAAACAGTGTGGTTGATCAGTGCAAAGACTGGACAGGAAGAACAACCCAACAAAGGGAACTGGGGGAAGATTCCATTGTTTGCCTAATTCCACTGAACAGTACAGTGGAAATTTCTTCACTGGTGAGCAATGTTCCCTCTAAGCTGAGTTAGTGTGAGCCAGCTCAGTTTTTTAGCCTCCGGCTCACATTTTTGTCTTGGCTCAGGAAGGAGGGCTCCGGAGCAAAGTAATTTGTGCAGCAGCCAAATCGCTCGCTCACAACTTTAATGCCAGTCGCTTACCAAGTAGGATTTTTCCTCACAAGACTCCATGGCTTAGAGGGAGCCTTGCTGGTGAGCAACTCCAAGGCTGCACTGCTACAAGACAGACAGCAGAGCTGACGACATGCCGTATAGAGGAATGGAAAGCAGCAGCAGCAGCTGAAACTTTAGGCGTGTCTTGATTTCTACATCTTCTTCCTCCTGCAAACCTCCACTTTCTGCTTGGTTTGTTTGCATCTCCCTGCATGCAGAGCACTCCTCACCTGAGGACCCCCCCCCCTAATAAGAACAGAGATCATCTTGTATTTATTTATACAAAACTTAGACTTTATTGCAATATCTCAGGATTTACACCATCTGTTAGAGAATGTGACAAACAAGTAAGATCCCATCCTGGAGGAGGAGAGGCAGCTCCCTGAGCCAGCCAAAGACTCCTTTTGCTGCCCCCCAACCCCGTCCTCGACCCCCCACTGCGCATTGCCCTTGATCTGTCCCCAGCATCATGGGCTAGGGTCCACCTGGGGACTTGTAAGGCAGCTGGCACCGAGCACCTCCTCACACAGGGGTTGTCTGTGTCAATGTTACCAGGTGGGCATAGCCCGCCCGCCACTGTTTCCATGCAATGGCATGACATTTTCTTTCCAGTCTGAAACCCTGCCATATACAGCTGGGTGTTCACAAGTCTATTCAGAAAGCAGTTCTGCACCTCTAGTAACAGGAAAACGGGCCACACACTCCATAAATACAGAGTCTTGTAATCCCCAAACAGTTGAGCGTCCAGGCCAAGCAGCTCTTCTCCATCCCCGGGTGGGCAGAGAGGCAGCTCCTTTCTCTTTCTGTTTTTTTAAATAGCTGCCTTCCTCCAAGTAACAGTCTTGTGCCAGTGGCCAGGAGGTCCTTTCCTCCAGCACATAGTCCTCTTCAGAAGGTTGTGAGCAGGGAGGGACGGATGGTAAGCCGGCAGCTCCTTCAGGCAGGGCCGCCTGGTGGTGCAGGGCTCCCCTCCCTTGCACGCCTGACTTCAGGAGACAGTCTCTGGCCAACCCAAGTCAGCCCGCCAGGAATTTAACCAGCCCCCTTCGGGGCATCATTCCAGCAGCAGCTTTCGCCCAGCCAGAATCCTCCAAAAGAGAGATAAGGAAACCACTCAGGAGGAGATTAAGTAGAAAATGTTCCGTGGCTCTGCCCACCCCAAGGACAGAGCCACCTTACACCGCAGAACCCCCAGTGTGCTGGGCCGGGGCAGCTGCTCCTCGGCTCTGCTTTTCAGGCGTTGGCGCGGGCACCTCCAGCGGCAGCCGGGATTGGAACTTCTGCAGCTGCTCCGGGCTGGCCAGGTTCTTCAGGAGACTGTTCTCTCGCTCCAGCTGGGAGTTCTTCTCCACCAGCTCTTTGATCTGCTCTTTCAGTACCTCCACCTCCTCCCTCACTGCATACATTAGGTGGTTCTTGACTAGATCCTGCAGAGGAAGAAAAGGGTACCTGGGTGAGTCAACAGCATCCACACCACTACTCCAGAGAGACCTCCCCTTCCCCCAGCTGTTGCTCTTCAAAGAAAAGCAAAGGGGCTGTTAGTTAGGAATGCTTGCCTCCAAACTTATTCAGACTGGAGCATTGTAAGATCTGGTGTAGCACAGTACAGGACTAAGCCCAGATGAGACTTCTTCCAGACCAGGCTTGGTCCAATTGTTCTCTTTGCCTAATCTACCTCTTGTGAGGCTAAAAAAGGGAGAACCAGGCACACCAAATAATGCTTGTGGAGAAAGGACAGGGTACTAAATAGGTCACAAAAGACCAGGTTCACATTGCCCCAAGCAGCTAGGGTGGCCGTATGGCTATGGGGTGGCCAACAGGCATCATGGTTGTCCAGAGGTTCCCCGTCTCCAATCCCAGCTGGGCAAGAAATGTCATTTTTCAGCAAGGTGGGAAAGGGCACTCCACAGAGACACCCACCCGCCACTGTGACAAGCTCTAGATGCTTCAATGGAAGCGTCACACCTTCCCTCAAACAAATACTGGGGATCATAAATATAGACTTGATAGCTGTTCACATGCTTTTTTTATAATGCTTCTGGATTTTTACGAGTATTTGACATAAAGGGATGAAATGCAATTGGGGTTTGCCAGTCACCATCAGCACCTATGGTTTGAAAACGCAGTGCTGGTTTAATGAGTAAGCCATCAACCAGCTCTATGCACATGACTTACAGGACTCGGCTGGTTCCTGGGATTCCAAGGCATAGATTAGACTCCCGAGGGTTTGCCGCAGAGCTCTCTGACAATAGAGGAAGGCAGCAAAGACGGCACGGTGCTTCTCCCCCCCCCCCCCCCCCCTTCCCCTCGGGCGTTTATGTGCTTCGGCCGCCCTTCTCTAAACGGGAGGCTGCCGCGTTCCAGGAAAGGAAGTCTTGGCTGCAGGCAGAGGAACTGCAATGCGGCTTGGCCAAGTGCAGGCGGCGAACAAAGAACGACCCCTCCCTGCTTCCCTCCCCCTCCACGACAGACTTACCATTGCCTGCTCGATCTTGTTGTCGATAGCGACCACGCTGGCCCCCGACGCACTGCAACGAGACAAAGAAGGCTGAAAGTGAGAAAAACTGCCGGGCACAGATAAAAATGCCACCCCCCCATTAGCTGCAACCTGGCGGTCCGCAACCCCCCTCCCGCCCGCGCGTCTCCTGGGCGCTACCTGTTATCGAGCTTGACTGAGACCACATCCCCGCCCAGTAGGGACGAGAAGAAGGAGATAGAGAAATTGTGTAGCTGGTAGACAGCCACCTCCATCGGGGACTGGTACATGCCGGTGCTCATTGCCACGAAGCGGGCTATATTGAACTTGGCTAGGGGCAGGGGAAACAAAGAGCGCTCAACCAGTAACTGACCCCCTCGAGGAAACCGCCGAAGTTACTGCGCCTCCTTCGTGTCTCGCTCTTCTTTATATAGAGCGGCTCCCCTGACGTCACATGGTGTCAGCCTGACATGCAAATAAACCCCACCCCTTCAGTTAAAAACGGCCAACACGCCGGCGCGTTCCCAACCAAGCACTTTCCTTCCCCCTCCCCCTCCCCCGTGCAAATAGGGAGCAAATATGCTTGGCACCGCTCAGGAATGCGGCAGCACGGCGATGCGCTCCGAAAGGCCGTTAAGCTTAAGGAGACCATGATTGGTGCTTCCGAATTCAGCAAAACTATAGACTTCTTCAGTGACCAATGCTCCCTCTAAGATCTGGAGTCTTGTGAGCAAAAATTCTTCTTTGTGAGCTACTGGCATTAAAGTTGTGAACAAGCGATTTGGCCACTGCATAAATTAGTTTGCTCTGGAGCCATCCTTCCTGAGCTAAGAGACAAAGATCTGTGAGCTGGAAGCTAAAAAACTGTGAGCTAGCTCACACTAACTCAGCTTAGAGGGAACACTGCTGTTTTTAGTTATTATTATCCTCGATCCCCTTTGCATTCCACATCATTACATCTCATGTTGTACTTTATAGGGGAAATGGACAACACAAAATAGAAACCTAATATTCCCTGCATTTCGGGGCTCTTTCACCCTGAAGCTTATATATCTTGTCTGGAAAATTGTGTTTTTGTTATTTGACTTGCTCTGTGTTGTAATGTTTTGTGCCTACATTTTCAAAATGCATATAGATTGTGGTATGAAATGATTCCAATCGATGTTGCACACCTTGAAATCTCTTTCTAAAGTTACCCATCTTTTTTATTGCTGTCCAGACCTTTTAAAAATCGTTCTGGAGTTTAGAGAGAGATAGGTAAGACTCTTCTTTTTCTCCCCTTTTCTGATATGTAAGTGTTGTATTTTTTCCTTAGGGGGATATATTATTAAAATAAAAACAAATACATAAAAAATAAAAATTTTAAACATTGTCACAGTAAATGCCTGCAACAGTGAGGACCCACTATAGACATCTGACCAAGTGGGTTCCCTAGTCCAGACTCCACAAAAGTTTTAAGGTGGAATACAATCGTAGCAAGAATTTAAGGTGCCACGAGACTCCTTTTTATTTGAACTTCAGGAGCAGACCATTTGGCATTAGTAGGATCACTGGGCTTAACAGGAGCCTGGTCGCAGATAAAGGGGGGGGAGGTGGCGTCGGACTTCCCTTTGGCAAACTTTAGACAGAGTCCTCCAATCTGTAGCTCTGGCAGGGCAAGGCTGGCACCCTGGTGAATGCACGCTGCCTCCTCTCTATCTCATATACCTATAAAAGGCCTGCTACTAGACTGGACCATCTATCTCTACCAGGCAACAGTTCTTCAGGGGCTCTGACAGAGAAAAGTCTTTCTGAAAGAGAAAAGTCTTTTTCAATATCAGTTAAAGCCTACGGTTCCATTTTTTTTGAGAAGCCAGGCAACTGACCATGGAGACTAATAACTGCAAAGCTGGCCTATTCCAACAAAGAGCCCACCTAGTTCCGCTTTGTCTACCGGCAGCAGCTCGCAGGCAGAGGAAGGGTGGGTTTTTTTTAAGCATCTGGAGACGCCAAGGGCTGAAGCCCTGACCTTCTGCATGTAAATCATATATTGTCAGTGACCCACAGGCCCATCCCCTTTTGGCACAGCTCAGCGCCTTTGGAAAGCGCTTCCGTTACCACGATGACCCCAAATAAGTTTACTTGGGACTGTGATCCAGTTGCTTGAACACCACGGAAATTGCTTCCAAGTAAAAGCACTTCGGGCTGCAAATCCCAGCGCTTTGGTTTAATTGAGTTGGCCACCGTCAGGCAGGAGCGGTCACAACTCTTCCCAGGCCTAAAAGCTGCACAGAGCAAAGCTCAGATACGTTGCCAAATCAATTAGAGGCCCACTGTCTGCTAGCGCCTTCCTGGTTGCCTTGCAAGTGAATTTTGCACATTATTTGTGCAATAGAACACACACACCCCCGCCGCCCGTTTCCAGCAAACAAAGCCGAGAGCATTACAACAGCAGAGTCTGCTTCCAGAAATCCAAAGTATCGCCCAAGCGCACAACTAGGTCGAGACTTAAGATTACATAAGAAGTTACCAAAACATGTTGTGTCTTTCTTTGATCAGATCCAAAACGGGCCTTCCAGCCCGGTTTCTCTCTATGGTTTAGGATGACCCCTGGCGGTCATTTGCAGCATGTCCAGGAAGTCATGCAGCAGGTGGGGCTATAGGTTGGTAATAAACACATGTTTTGCATGTCGAAGATCCCAGCCTCCGATGCCCTGAATCACTCAAAGGCAGCCTCATAGCCGATTGATTTTCTGCCAAATGCAGAATAAATTAGGGTGTTCATGGTTCACTGGATCAGCTGGGTTCCCAGAGTAAGAAGAAGCACCTCAACAGGCATACTTCTTTGGACTTCTGGGTGGGAGAACAGACGGATACCCACCCACATAGCTGCACAGACACTATTTTAGGGATGCCACTGGGGCACCAATGGCAATCAAACACATTGCACTCCCCCCACACTTCTTGTTACGTCACAGAGTATCCTTGCTGCAATTCAGATTGCTTGTTATTGGAGCTGCACATTCATTCTCACAAATATGCTGAAAAATGCATACCTTTGCACACATTCCCATTTGTAGTAGAGTAATCAAGTCTTTGCTCTGTGCAAGATCTGGCCTCTTTTTCCTCCGGACAAAAAAGCCAAGTGAGGCTGAACAGGACACAGGAACAGCCATCCTGTGCCGCAGGTCCCCCACTGCTCTAGACCATAACAATGGTCCAGTCCACAGTTCCATTGAATGGCAGGAAGGCTCTCTGAAGGCTCTCTGGTGGCATGGGAAAGAGAGGGGGTGTTTCCTTTGCACCACAGAGAGCAACACCAAATAACGGTGACCAGAATCTCCTGCTGGGAAGGACTGCAGAGAGGCCAGGCAGGGAGCCCAAGGGAGAGGACCAGGGGGAACAGGCCTGCTTGCCGTGCCACCCTTCTAAATGGCAGGGCTTCTGCCCCTTTCAAAGTTGTGCAGTGGGCAGAACTAGGTTCTGTCAGCTGGTTTTACCCTATCTCAGCATTGCAGCAGTGAGCAAATGTTAAGCACAGCTTTCAGGGCTGCGGCCCGCGGCCATACCCAGCCACATCTCCTTTCCCGGCAACTTCGTGCCCCTGTCAAGCGCGGCAGGAGCTTCCAACAGGAAGCATATGTTCATGGCAGGCCTTGCTAGACTTGGACCCGTGGGGCTTAGGCTCCAATCCCTGCTCACACGTGCACAAGTTACTCCCACAGGGCCTCACTTTCCCCTCTGCAAAACAGGCCTGGTTATCAACTCCTACATGGGTGGTGCTGTAAGGGCAGCTGAGATAAGGCACTTGCAAAAGTGCTGCATAATGATGGCTGCTATTAATAACTTGCTCCCCTCCCGCCCCTCTGGTGCTAACAGTGGGGGCAGCCAGGGTGCCTGTGCCCCTCCCAAATCAGACCCTGCCTCTGCTGGCTGGTTATTTTTCACTGCTTGCGTCTGCGGCGGGGACTCTGCCTGCTGGCAGGCTCCCATTTCCAGCTGCTGGGCGGCTGCTCCCTTTGATAGAGGCCTTGGCAGTACTCCCAGTTCTTGGCTTGCTGGCACGCCAGCGCACAGCCAGGAGGGGCCTCCAAAGCATGGCTGCCTTGTGCGTCTTAGCACTGGGACGGGCTTCCTTTCTGCCTCTGCCGCAAAGCAGTTTCTGGGGGGAAGAAGAGGAAGCCTGCTTTGTTTTGCTGCAGCAGCTGTGCGCCTTCTCCCCCCGCTCGCCCTCAAAGCTCTCCTTTATCTACCTCATCAATGGGACTCCTCTAGAGCTCAGCACTGCTTGGGAGGAAAACTTTCCTGATGTCTTAACAGAGCAGAGACTCACTGGCTACTTGAGCAGAGTGCAGCCAACCTCTGCAGAAGGGTCTGGATGCATTGTGGTCAGCCATTGGCAAGTGAGGGGGGGGCGGCTTTGGTGAGGCTGCAGTGGTGGCAAATGCCATCAAGTCACAGCTAACTTATGGTGACACCATACAGTTTTCCAGGCAAGAGACATTCAGAGGTGGTTTGCCATTGCCTGCCTCTGTGTAGCAAGTAACCCTGGACCTCCTTGGTGGTCTCCCATCCAAACACTAACTAGGGCCGACCCTGCTTAGGTTCCAAGATCTGGCGAGATCTAGCTAGCCTGGGCCATCTAGGTCAGGGTATGCACCCCTTAGCCAAAGGCAAATATTTTGTACAGCAATCTGCATTCACTCACACTTTAACCACATGGATAATATTTTTTTTTTGGGGGGGGTTGCTGAAATTCCATAAAACTTAATAAAACCTAAAAAGTAAGCAGAGTCCTGCTATATCTGACCAGCGGTCCATCTAGTCCAGCATCTTCTTGCACACAGTGGCCAGACAGTTGCCCGGGAGGGCAAACAACAAGCAGGACATGGAGTAGTTCTGCGGGACCTGTCTGATCTGCCTCTGCCACTACCACCCTTACAAACCAATAACACATACTGCAACATCCACAAGAGATGCCAAGGTGACCAGTGTGAAGCAAAGAATGGTTTGACCAAGACTGCAAGACAGAATAAGACACGTTGAGTAGGAGATAAGATACCACAGAACCTC